TTTAAAGTAGAACGGAACAAGTTTTAATTATTTTATTGAACAATTATTTGTTTCATTGAAGAACGAAAACAGGAATGTTGAGTTAAACATTACTCATCTGTGCATGTGATGGAGGAATGCACAGTGCCTGTAGGGGGTGTGGTCTCAATAGTATGCAGTAAGCAGTGTGCTATGGCATGGATATTCAAGTGTACTTGAATGGCATCTGTTTGTTTTAGTCAAGATTATGCTAAAACATACTTTCCCCAACTATATTTAAGTTCCCTGTGAAGAGCCAGCCTTCAATTTAGAAAATTCCCAGTTTATTCCCGTGGAAAGTTTCCATCTTTGAAAATTCCCGGAATTTTGCAACCCTACTCCTGATAATCCATTTTTCAGGAGACTCCTCAGTGTTTGGTATGTACCAACTTTGAAAAATCATTGTGAAATGTCTGCAGCTGTTGTTTTTGAGCTTTTGAGAAAAGAAAAAAAACAACCCACCTAAAATAATAAAAAACCCATTATAAGTAGCCAGGAGAAAGTCAGTTTTGATTTAAGATTATTTTTTATAGAGAAAAATATATTTATTTTGGTGATCAACTCTCAATAGTGTGCTATAACATTCCAACTCATGACAAGCAGCACTGCAGATCTTGGGTTAATGCAAATATTACTATTATATGGAACATCACATACTGAATGGCCTTGACTACATTTCTCAAAAGTTATCATTGCCTGTGCAGAGATGTCCATTATCCTCTTACTCACACGTATCAATTGTAACCAGAGTGTCGTCTATATTCTCCTCTTCGTCTTCAGCAGGGGGCTGGGGTGTGCGGGATCTGTACAATATCAGGAGAGTATGGCGTTAACAGACACTTTCAACCACAACATCCCCACCCACACCAGTCAACTGCTGGTTTAATAACATAGTGTTGGTGTGAGCATACCTCTTTTCCTCGCGATGCTCGTAGTAGTTGTAGCCCCTGCTCTCCTCGTGCGGTCTCTTGCGGCTGTTGTTTCCGGCTTTATCAGATTCCACTTTGATTTGCTCTCCCTGATGTTCTGTCCTCTGACTTTCCTGCTCTGTGTTCCCAGCAGCCTCGGGTTCATCTTCCATCTTCACTTCCACTTTGACTCCTGAAATAATACATGAACAGTGAGCTAGAGTCAGTATTACAAATAACTAATATTAGTCAAGATAACAGCTTTGCAATAAACCATATTTGGAGATGTTTTAAAGATATGCTTATATTCTGTTTCCCTGGTGCCTGTAACTTAGGCCGAACTAAACAATAACAACACTTGTGCTAACTATGTTTTAATGTGGTCAGTGCCCCAAACTATTACTAAAGGAACTACAGCATTCCATTGAAATACGACATTTTGAGTCATCCCCTCTCATATTCCATATCAGTTCTTCAGGCAAAATTACATTACAACACAGCATTCATTATTATGTAGGTGATGGAAAATCACCTGGTTTGTTCTCCACTTTCTCCTCTGGCTCGGCTTCTTCCTCAGGCACCGCGTCGGATTTGTGTAACTCGACATCTGCTGTGAAGTCAGGCATGCTGTGACAGGAGTCTGAAGTCGGCTGGCTTTCAAAAGGCTCGCCTTCTGCCTCTTCATCTTCGTAGTAACCACCTGAATCCCGACCCTCATCTTCTTCTTGGGGGGCCCCAGCTTCACCTTCAACATCCCCATCACTGTCTCCTTCGGCGTCTGCTACCACATGGCCAACCCCTTTGGCCTCTGCTACCACATGGCCATCCCCGTCGGCGTCTGCTACCACATCGCCAACCCCTTTGGCCTCTGCTACCACATCGCCATCCCCTTCGGCGACTGCTACAACATCGGCGGCCCCTTCGGCGACTGCTACAACATCGGCGGCCCCTTCGGCGACTGCTACAACATCGGCGGCCCCTTCGGCGACTGCTACAACATCGGCGGCCCCTTTGGCGACTGCTACAACATCGGCGGCCCCTTCGGCGACTGCTACAACATCTGCGGCCCCTTTGGCGACTGCTACAACATCGGCGGCCCCTTTGGCGACTGCTACAACATCGGCAGTCCCTTTGGCGACTGCTACAACATCGGCGGCCCCTTCACTGTCGACTTCACCTTCAACATCATCATCATCATCATCCCCGCCCTCGTCTACATCACCAGAGTCCTCAGCTCCATCTTCATCTGCATTAAAAATGAACATTCATAATCATTACCTCTCAAGCTCATAAGAAAAGAAAAATAAAGCACTTTTATGGAAATTGTATATTCTTCTACTTCACATATGACTGTTTAATTAATAGAATGATCTGGGCATAATAGTGCTGCACCATTAATCCACATTGTATTGAAAACGACAATACGTAAGCATGGACTATTCAAATTGCAGAATAACTATATATGTTAAAGGTGTAAAAAACGTATTATATACACTTAATACAAATGTTTTCAATAATAAATTAGAATAATTCAACTTATCGCTCCTATAATATCGTAATTGAGACATCTGTTTTTTTCTTTTCTTGTTGTTATATATTTTTTCTCAAATCGTGCAGCACTAGTGCATAACACTGCACTTTACTTTCATGCACTTCTGGTGAAATTCTAAAATGCATTTCGTTGCCTTGGTAACTGTACTTTGTCAATAAAAAAGTGCAATCTAATCTTTAATCAAAGTCTGATGGAACAGAACATTTATTTTTTAAATAAACAGCATGCATGGGGCTTACCTTGTTGCTCTGGGACATCCTCTCCATCTTCGTTGTCCTGGTACTCCTGGCCGAAGTTCTCTTCCTGATCCCCCGGCTCGGAGGCCTCAAGAGCGGCTTTTAGCCTCTCCACCAGATCAGCCTTCAGGCCTTTGCTGTCCAGGCCGCGGCGCTGGAGCTCCTTTTTCAGTTCGTTGACTTTCAGTTTCTTCACGTCGAAACTCATTGTGTCAGATGTGTGTTTCCTTTATTAGTTTACTAACAAAAACAGACAGTAGAACAAGCTGAAGTAACGCTAGAGCTTACAACACCGCTTACAACTTTCAAATCAATATATGATGGCGGCACTGTGTCTGAGCCAAACAGGCTACATTAGCAAGTTAGCGAGGCTAGCAGATATGGATATATACAGACCCATTGTACCTGGTTTAAAAATATCTATAAACCATTAAGTAATTTAAGCTTTACTACCCTTACCTGTATAGGTATATGAAAAGTAAACATATTACTGCAGTATTCGATTCAAGTTATCGCTACGTGGCTAATGTTGGTAACCTTCTTAGCCTAGCGCTAACTCACCGACACCCGATGCAAGACAAGCAATGTTTAATAGAACTTTAAAACTATGCAAGTTGCACGCGTTTTTCTATTTTGCATGCAAGTAAGGTGGTTCATGCATAGTTTTCCCACTTTATAACCTGGTTGTAATGCAAAATAATCTAAAAATAAGGTTGAGGCCTACCTGGTCTCATGCGAGTTGCGCGGGTCAGTTGTGATACCAGATGGAGTGTCGCTGCTGCCCTCTATGGGGCGGAAACCAGACCGAAACCATCCACCGGAAGTAAACAAGACCTGCGCATATTCAAAGGTTAATTCTTCTACTATTTAACCTCCGAGGTGCCCACGTTGTGCTTGCTAAATAAAACCTTTGTTAAAGTGAGTTGTAGTTAAACAGACAAATAAAAGGGTAAGCCAACATATCAACCGAGCTTGTGTATTTGTTCTCGTCTAACACTTGGAACACTCCAAAGTAGGAAGTGAGGCGGTGTTTCCATGCGAACGAATTATGGGTAGTGTAGTTTCAAAACCTCCCCGCCGTTATCTCTTCGGCCTACAGCTGAGGTCCAATAAATTCGCAGTTTACAATAGGCGCGTTCACACCGGAGTACTTTTTCCCGTTTACTATTACTCCCATTTTTAGTGCTGAGAGGTGGTCTCCTGGGGGGGAAAAGCTTAACTTGAGTATTTTTATATTATGCCACACTCCAGTTCTATGTCCCTTCATTTCATTGAGAAACAATGTGCTTTTCACTCTACCAGTTTTAAGACTTATTTTGTAAAGGTTGTAACTGTTTAAATACAGTTGGCCTTTATCTGAGGATTTCACTCAAGAGAGGATAAAACAAGCATAAGAATGCATTAATGCTAAAGAACAAAAAAAAAGAACAAAAACTAATCTCTCATTCAATATTCACAGAAAATGCAGACAAATTGCTTGTTTAACACACACTGCTGTGATTCCCTGTCAACCCAGACTAGTTTATCTTTTGTGAAATATCAGTAAAATCTCACTTTACCTTAGTCAGTCAGGGGTCGTCAGTTTACTTAAATATATTACAAAAAGACTACCCAAGGAAAAAGGTTTGGAACCACTGGATTTTGGACAGAAATATATTGGTTATATATTTTGTTTGATGCACACAAAAATGTTTTCCAAGATTCTAAAATGTGGGGATTTGCTGCTTTAAAAAATATATATGTTTATTTAATGATTGAGAGGTTTTGATGGTTGGTTGGACAAACAAGCAGTTTTGTCTAGGGCTTTTAGTAATGTGATTGCATAAGTCACTATTTTCTGAATGTATACAAACCTAGTTAATTGAGAAAAAGCTAGTCAGCAGATGCCGCATTAAAGGTCCCATGTCATGGCCATTTCTAAAATAGATTTATATTGTGCAATTTTCCAAAATCACATTGGGTTTCTCATACAGCATTCTCTATAGTATGTGTATTCACTCTCTGTCCACGGCTTGTTGGAGCTCCTGCCCCCCCCCCCCCCTCCCTGTGAGCCCAGTGGCCGTCTGCGAGACAGCGAGACACAGCGAAACCCAGCCCGAAACACACACACCCGCATTTTACTTCGATTATATGTAATGTACATGTTCCTGATAATGTGTTTTCAATGGAGGACCTTTACATCAAAGGTCCTCCACCATCTAGTTTTTTTTAAACAATGTGTTACGTGTACTTAATTAAAGGTTTACAATTATTCTGCTTGTGCAAAAGCGACAAACACTCTCATCAGACAGGGAACCATTTTATTTTACACCCTCCTTTTACAGTGTTCATCACATCCAATGTACATGAACCATGAAATGGATTTATAGCGTAAATACAACACCACATGTCCATGAACCTCTTCTTAAAGAAATCCCGATATTGGCCCAATATATATTTTTTGGTTTTTGTCCTTCAATCAAGTGCACAAAATGCCAAATAATCCCACAATTGAAGCACCAAATGGAGCATGAAAATGATTAAGGTCATTGAAATACTGGAAATCAGAGGAAAGGGATTTGCTGGAGCTGCTTTAAAATATATTACATTTCAAGGACGCCATCGCAATTTATTGTCAATGTTTATTTACAACTTAATAATGAACATGCACGATCAACCACAGAAATACACTATGAATATCATAGCAATCTCCTGCTACAGCTCGAGCACACATCCACAGCACTCTGATTTGTATCCACCCTTTCCACCCAACCTAAGGGCATATCAAGCTGTACACATGGCAGGACTATGTTTGTGCACTATGTTGGGTCACGTCACATACTGTAGCATATAACCCATTGAATCACTTCTTGTTGGGAAGAGGTAATGACACAAGTTGTCTATTCATCTCTCTGAGCCGAGCGTCGAGAGTCTCTGTGGTCATAGCGAGCTCTGCTATCTGAGTCTGTAGGCTGATGATGGTCTCGTTCTGCTCCTCTTCTTTGTGGCGGGAGTTGGCGGCCTGCCTGCTGTACTCCAGCACCATGCAGCCAGTTCCGATGATGAAGATGATCCCCTCACCCAGCAGCTCCGCGCCCAGCTCTGCAGCCAGCTCCTCGTTCAGAGGCTTAATGGTGGCCCCCCGAAAACCCATGATCCGCATCTTCGTTCTCATCTCGATCCAGTGGTAAACTGTGAAGAGCAGATGCAGTTCCAGTGTGTTAGACTTTCAGTATTTATATATTTGTAATGATGTAGCTCACATTTGCACTTATTCTTCAAATTATCTCCAAATAACAGTTTAAACCGATTTTTTATACCAAAACCTCGCACCATGTACACTTTCTTCTGGTCAGCTATTGGCCTTATTCAAGATTCAAAGGGTTTATGTTATATGCACAATCGCTACAGTGTAGTTTGGCAATACAAATCTAATGTACCAGGGTCCTTCAACAGTCACACGTACTAAAGACATTAAGTCAAAATAGTGCGAGAATGTTGCAAGTGACACAATGTGCAAGTAAATGCAGAACTAGGTCAACTATATACATGTAAAATAGAATCTACTGATGTAATATATAAATATGTGGACTGTTAACAGATGTATGTGTATTAAAGTGTTTCATCAATAAGGCCCAGGACCCCCACTGACTCTTTAACTTCCTATGAATGCACATCATGTAAGAACTCCTTGTTAAGAGCTGCACAATTAATCACATTATTATTGAAATATGGACAAGTATCCATGTTCATACTGTAAACCTTGTGCATCTCTGTTTATTTGCAAATTCCTCTACCTCTTTTGAAAAAGTGCACAGCTCTTTTTCTACAATTCTGATACAATGCCATATTCTAGTTTTGATACTTAGTTTATGTAAACACCCTTATATAGCAATGCTAATTACTTTTATGTGTAAACCTGTACTGAAATAAACCTATTTCTGAATAAATAATAAGAGGGATATAACATAAAAATAGACAGAAAACAATAGATCAAATGCATTCAACACAAAAATGACCAGATAAAGTGACAGGAGTGTTGATGCAAAACATATCAACATAATATCGTAGTATAAAAGGGTAAAGTATGATATCGTATGGGCTATGAGATAAAGTAAAAGGTGAAATGCAGTTACATAGTATAACAATATCAGGTGTGGCATATACATATAAGACAAAAGAATATAAAATAAAATCATCATCAGTTGTCAAGTCTATGTCCATTTAAACAATATTTAAAACTTCACTGAGCCCTCTGTCTTTTTATGACCAATTACATATTTCTATGAATGAACAAATCCAATGTTTCTCGATGTCATTCCTTAAAAATGAGCTCTGTGACACATATGTTTGGTTTCTATTTCTTTCGTTTTGATTGTATGTTTTAAAAATGATCTGTAACACATGCAGTAGCCTATGAATTACATTATGACCAAACGAATTCAAAGCAATGTATCTAAACATGCCCAAACGAATAAACACAGGTGTGTCTAAACAACAGAACACAGTGGCTGCTTTGAATCTTTTCATTTTTTGAACAGGACGTTTAGCAAAATCCTTTCACTGTCATTTAGCGAAAGCTTCAGGCAACATTTCAATGACACACAAGACCCGCCCTCTTCGACCTTGGCGTGCTTCTATTGGTCGAACCGATAAGCGGTCTTGAAAAGCTACAATCTCATTGGTCGTCGCAGCCTCCTCGCTTTATCCCTCGTCCGGGTGTCTGACACTGCAATGTAGCGGTCATTGGTAGCCGTTAGCTCGGTTACTCACTCTGTGCCGGGGGCAGACAGATGTAATTCTTAAAGAACTCGCTTTCTCCGGGCTCCGGCCTTTATTCGGTTCGCTATAGGCTTGCTCAACTGCCTCACTCCCAGGTAGAGGAGCTTGGCGATAGGGAAGGCACCGACAACCATCTTGGCGGAAACACTTGATCAGCGTAGGGCGGGGCACGTAGAGATGACGCGGTGACGTTGTATGATTGACAGCTACAAACCCAACCACGTGTTTATGACGTCAGAAAAAACTGCGTTATGGTAGGCCCTGAGACGAATATATTATAGAATATATAGAATATAAATTCTCTCATCCCAAACCACGCCCTACCCCTACACAGTACCCCTCAGTCTTTACTGAAATGATCAAATAAAGTCAACATTTCACAGTGTTTACTGAGCTGTGTGGGGTTTGTTCAACTTTTAAAATATGTTTGAATGGTGATATACACAGTGATAGATGTTAAAGACTAACGTTTATATTAAATACATTTCCTCGCTCCTCGGTCTCGGTCTCACCGGAAGTTGATTTGTCTGCGCCATCTTGAGTAGCGTCCCACTGGCCTTATTTTTGCGGGAGGACCGAGGAGCGATAATGGAGGAGCTATAACCGAGGAACCACCAGACCATCCTCCGATGAAATCCTCAGGCACTCGCCCCGCCCCCTTACTGTGTATCGCTCACTGATTGGACGATGCAGTGCATGGACTGATCTGATGCTTCTTGACATGAGAGCAGTTTCCCAGCGGAGTGAAGAAAATACATGAAACTCACGAGAGTCACTCCTCAGTTTATACCGTGTTTTGTTTCAATTAATGTATCATTTAGTTACAAATATGTGATATATGGATACACTGACGTGCAAATATGTGAAACACTTTAACAAAGCTTGAGACAAATTTACATTTTATAAAACAAATGTACCAAAGCAAAAACGATTTAACATTAACAAAAACAAATTAACAAGATGCAAAACATTTTTACCAAGCTAGAGACAAATGTACAAGTGTCGAAACACTTTAACATTTGCCGAAACACTTTAACATTTCCCGAAACACTTTAACATTTGCCGAAACACTTTAACAAACTAGATAATCAAACTATCTAAAGATATATTAACTATGGATGGCATTAATTTGACCTCCAGTGAGACTGTAAGGAATCTTGGTGTTATATTTGATCAGGATTTATCCTTTAACACCCACATAAAATCAATTTCAAGGACCGCCTTTTTTCATCTACGTAACATAGCAACAATCAGGCATATATCTTGCCTCAAAACGATGTATTGTCATACTGATATTCTGTACAACTGTGAAGTCCACTGAGACAAATGTAACATTTGTGATATTGGGCTGTATAAATAAACATTGATTGATTAATTGATAGGGCGTGGTTTGGGATTGGGCCATAGTATTTTGTTCCCAAAGTCTTATTAACAAATATATGATTGATTGAACTGCTGAAACTTTGTTTCTCTTCCTTTCTTTGTATTCTTTTTTATATATATACTAAATTTACCCCACAAAATCGTTAGTCTGGGTTTTGTTGTTTGTTGCAGTTTTCCAGTAAAATGTATATTGGGAAAAAATGCATGCACCTTTACTGCGCATGCATTTTTTAAGTCTAGAGAAGGTAGATACAGGCTCTTTATTGGAAGAGGTCCATTTAATTTAAAGTGATGTAACTGTACCTAAATATTTGGTGATATATTTGTCTGATTTAACCACAAAAAGAATCAAAAGGATTTCCCCAAAAGATGTGCTAAAAATGTCAGGCTTCTCAGGTCATTTACTATGTTAACGTAACAATACCACATCCACAATGTATTTTCTTGCCCTCTGTGACAAAGGTTAATAAGTTCTGACGCAGTATAAACGGTAACTAAACTTAATTTGTATCTTAAAGGACATACAGTTTTTTATTAAGATGCAAATGTAAGGTTAATAAATGGATATATTGATGGACTGATGTAGCCTATGTTAGAGTGTTTTAATATGGGTATCTCCTACTTCAGAGATGAGATATTTTGGTTCATTTTAATTTAGAAACTTGTGAAAAAAACAAAACAAATTAAAACATAACTTTGAGGGTGGCAGTTTAGCCTCCAAAAAGAACAATACTGAAGAACGTCCCTAAATAAATCTTTGCTCTCACACTATCAGCACTGAGTCCTTTAAACATTAACATGTTTTTTTAAGTTTACCAGCTTATGGTGGGTACAAATCACATCACATGTCTGTGCTGCTATACTGATCCACAGACAGATGTGTTTAAAGCAGGGGAGAGAAAAGCTTCCATGGAAACACTCAACAGTTAGCAGCTGCAGCTCTTTTGCCTGGAAACACAAAAGTCTACGGTTCGAATCCAATGGCCAAGTCCTGCTTGCCAAAGATGAAGCAATACATGCATGTAACATTAATCAAGTCAAATACATATTTGTTCATAGCTATGTTCAAATATAGATTTGACTTATTATTTGTCATAAAAATGTAGGCCTAAAAAAATATATATTTTGATATGTTGTAAACATTTATAGTCGATTGGTAACTTATTATGAAATAACTATATATGTACATTTTTACAGTTTATATACATTTTATTTGTACTCTTTCAGTGGCTTGTGTATATACATTTGTAAACAAATCAGAGATAAATAAAATAGATTTGATCTAATCAGATTTGATCTATATCTAATCTAATCCATTCGTTAATATAATCAACTCCTCCCTGGTTCCCTCCGTCTTCAAGATAGCAGCTGTCACCCCCATCATTAAAAAACCTGGTCCCGACCCCGAGGACCCTAGCAACTACCGGCTGATCTCCAACCGTCCTTTCCTCAGCAAGATCATGGAAAGAGCAGTTGCTGCCCAACTCCATCATATGTCCAACCATGAGCTCTACGAACCCTTCCAATCAGGCTTCAGATCCAAGTTGAAATCTTTTGGCGACAGAGCCTTCAGTGTCGCAGCCCCCACCCTCTGGAATTCTCTCCACTCTGCTATCAGGAATGCAGACTCTCTGGACACTTTCAAACAAAAACTCAAACACCATATGTTCACTCAGGCCTTCGGCCCCAGCTAAAATGCAATACCCAGCAACCTGTTTTTCAACCTGTGTGTCAACCTGTGTGTCTGTGTGATTATTATTTATTTATTTTTTTGTGATTTTATTTCCCATTGTAAAGCGTCCTTGGGTTTCTTGAAAGGTGCTATAAAAATCGAAATTATTATTATTATTATTAATTTGACTGCTTTAGTTACTCCACATATTCAGATTACTAGCTAATACAAAATATAAATAAACATTTAAATATCATTAAAGATAAAGACTTTCCTCAGCAGTAAATAAAGTAATTAAAATGATCTCCACATTATATAGCTGTGATTAACACATGAATTAATCAATAGTCATATACTCCAGTGATTAAATATGATTGGGCCATTACATGTAACGAGCAGTTTAACTTTTGGTTCTTAAGTATATTTTGATGCCAATACTTCAATAAGTATTTTACAATTTAGTATTGCTACTATTACTTAAGTAGGCAACAACACCTCTGCTTAGACTTATGTATAGAAAGGGTTAAAATGCAGGGTCATATATGTATCTAGACCTACAGCTATTGTGTGGCGTTGTAAATGTGAACATGTGAACTACCTGTTATTTCCTGACATAATGTGTCAACATGAAGTGGATGGTGTGCCTCACCTGGGCCAGCTGTGCAGGAACACCGGGCTCGGGTTACAGCAGCAGAGGGAGGGGGGGGAGGGGGGAGTGACTCTCGGTCAGTCGACTGCACAGGATGACTGCATGTCTGGAGCAACACAGAGAAACACTGCCCCACTACAGGAAGACTAGGAACTCTGAACAGGGCTCTGCTCCCCTCTGGAATTTGGGCCAGGGGAACAATAAGGCTCTCATTTACTGAGGTAAGTACTGGTTTTATTGTAGATCCTTTCTGTGTGGGAATACGATGTAAAGAAAGTTTGTTTATAAGATCACGTGTGTCGCGCGCTGTGGTTGAGATGTCGTATAGCTTCAGAAGCTTTTCCTATGAATAACTCTTTCCTTCGTTTTCTCGTATATTGTGAGTAGCAGTGATGGAAGAACTACTCAGATCTTTAAGTTAGGTAAAAGTAGTAACGTACCACAGTGTAGTAATACTCTGTTACAAGTAAAAGTCCTGCAGCTGACATTTTAAAGCAAAAGCACAAACATATTAGAAATTATAGTGAAAGTAGCCTACCAAAAGAAAAAGTACTCATATTGCATAATTGCCATTTTTACCAACAATATAAAACACTGGATTTTAATACATTTTCCATTATAAGTAATTTTGCAGCTGATTGAGCTCACTTTAATCACTTCTTATGCTGCCAGTTCTCTTAATCCATAATAGAACATCATAATGTATAAGCTTATTTGTATTTTTTTGTAATATTTATATGTAATTGCAGGTATCAAATGTTGTCAAATAAATACAAAGGTGAAAAAGTACTTTTTTTGCCTGCAAAATGTAGTGGAGTTGGAGTATAAAGTAGCATGAAATGAAAATATTAAGTAAACTACTAGTACCTCAAGATTGTGCTTAAGTCTTGTACTTGAGTAAATGTACTTAGTTACTTTCCACTATGGTGAGGAGTCTTGAATGTGAGGAGGAGCTAGTTCTCAAACTAATGGAAATCAGATGTTAACCTTTCTGCCAGGCATGCCTCTAAAGCAGTGACGTGCGGTGAGGTTCATGGCTGGTGAGGCACTGACTCTTTCTTTTAAATTTGACCTTAATCGAAATATTCGGTTACAAAAGCTTTTTTAGTCTTATGCTTCACTTCATTCTAAACAGACCGTTCAACAAAAGAATACCCAAAATCTAAATATTGGATTGTTCTTTCTTAGTAAGATCCCATTACAAAAGTGGTCTTACCTTGACTTGAAGAGGAAGTCCATGCTATCCTTCTGGACAACAATCTCTATTACTTTTTTGTAAAAGTGCTCCTTATATTCCTCTAGTTTCAAAAGTCTAGTTTGTTGTTTGCGTCTACCGTCTCTGCGTAGAATAACAGTAGCAACAAGAACCTGTGGGCTCACGTGCGCCCCCTTCAGTGCGGCAGAGGTTATGGCTGCCTCCCCTGGTGCTTTTTGCATTGCCGTTGCCGTCACTGTGTGAAAGAATATCTTTCACACACAGTG